CATAGAATGGGAGGATCATAGTATAAATACTGTACATAGTTATTGTATACATTACATATATAGAGCTTGAGGGCATATGGGCTGGGCAGACATTAAACAAAAAACACACGAAAAACATTTTAAAAACATCAAGCAAAGTATGTCTTTATACTTGGGGCGCAATGCCTTTTTAGGGCTTTTTAGCTCCGACTCCTCTCCTAATGTACCAAAAAAGCCAATGTGGATACATACATTGTACATACCTTTGAAGAAAGACTGCTACTTAAATACTGTGGTTGGTTTGTATTACCTTATCAATTGAAGTATAGTGGCTGGTGGGGGTCTACTTGGGGTGAGTGGGTCCTCCAAGAGACTAAAATGGGATGAGTGGAGGCCCCACGCACACCTCAGAGAAGTCTGTGATGCCCTACCAGTCACCCCATCCCAATCCCCTGGATATAGCCCCTCTCCATTCTCACCAATAACCACCAATAAGCATGGTGGTGGCAGCATCATGCTCTGGGGATGTTTGTTTTTTCATCGGCAGGGACTGGGAAACTGGTCAGAATTGAAGGAATGATGGATGGCGCTAAATACAGGGAAATTCTTGAGGGAAACCTGTTTCAGTCCTCCAGAGATTTGAGACTGGGACGGAGGTTCACCTTCCAGCAGGACAATGGCCCTAAGCGTACTGTTAAAGCAACACTCGAGTGGTTTAAGGGGAAACATTTAAATGTCTTGGAATGGCCTAGTCAAAGCCCAGACCTCAATCCAATTGAGAATCTGTGGTATGACTTAAAGATTGCTGTACACCAGCGGAACCCATCCAACTTGAAGGAGCTGGAGCAGTTTTGCCTTGAAGAATGGGCAAAAATCCCAGTGGCTAGATGTGCCAAGCTTATAGAGACATACCCCAAGAGACTTGCAGCTGTAATTGCTGCAAAAGGTGGCTAATAGTTATGCACGCTCAAGTTTTCTGTTTTTTTTTGTCTTATTTCTTGTTTGTTTCAGACATTTTTTTATTTTGCATCTTCAAAGTGGCAGGCATGTTGTGTAAATCAAATGATACAAACCCCCACAAAATCAATTTTAATTCCAGGTTGTAAGGCAACAAAATAGGAAAAATGCCATGGGGGATGAATACTTTCGCAAGCCACTGTATCTCATTGGCATCGGCTAATTCTATCGTTACTTCCTAGAGAAGAACAGTTACTTGGGGACAATAGAGTCTCGATTGTATTGTGGGGAGGGGGAAATAATATTGTCTCTTGGGCATCGCTTTATGTAGCCTAGTGTGCTTATCTCTTTATTTCTCTCCTCAGGGCACTGGGCTCTCTTTCAACTGGAAAGGTTTCCTGCAGCTTGTTCAGGGCTTCATCGGGCACTTGTGAACTCCATTCTCCGCATTCCCTTCCATACCCAAAGTACTGCCGCGAATCGGAGTGGGCATTTTATTAACCACTCATCAGGTTTCTCAAACTGTTTAGGGCACAATCAGACATCCTTTTGAAAGCTACACACACACACACACCGTACACACACAGACACACACACAGGCCCTACACTCTCTCTGCCATGTGCCAAGATTGGCAAGGAGATAAATAATAGCTATATGGCATTATAAACCTTTTATAGCAAACAAAGGCCCTCTGCAAACTCAATCAGTCCTCTGGCTTTGGACATGCATGGTGACAGAGCCAAAAGTAAACGATAATCTAATCAGAGACATGTGTGTGTCCCCCTCACCCCTCCCCCGACCACGGACCACCACAACCACACCACATCACACAGCTCCTCTAGAAACATCTTCAAATAGCCATGCATGGCTAATACTAGCAAACCGCTCTACTGTATGGGACTCTACTCTACTGCAACAGCTAGTTACAATAAAGATGCTCTGCACCCTTCCTGAAGGTAGGAGAGCGGCATTACAAGTTTCAACCAAGTGTCCTAGCAACTGTTTAGTGAAAAAGAAACCAGTTCTGTATTCACCTTGTAAAACAATTACATCTAAATAATTATCTTAGAAACATTAGTGTCAAAATATAGAGGCAAGTTTACTGTTACACAATAAGAGTCTATCACGTTTCCACAGACCACCTCATCATTCACATCACTTGGCTGTGGCATCAAAGGAAAGGAGAGCACAAACTCACTTCATCTTTAGAGAACAACCAAAAGGCCACAGTTTTACTGCTGGTATTTATCCTTGTCTTATCTCCTCTCTGGTTTAATGTGGAAGGGGGGGTTGGGAACGCAGGACCAGTGTACAGCTACGGCCTTATAAGGCCCCAGAGGATGCTCTGTGATGAGGAACAGACTCAAACCTAAGCCCCAGGAAGATCTGAGGGCTACCCTTTCCCCAAACTATCCACACCATTTTCACACACACAAAACACACACACACACACACACATACACCCTGTAAACAACTGCAAGTCAACTTGCTTGCAAGTATTTCTTATGAATACAATATTTTGGTTTTCAGAAGTAGCTATAGTATGAAGTCATAAGAAAACAGCAAATGATAGGTCATTTGGGAATTCATGAGAAACAAAACACATATTCTTGAATCTTGATATGTCTGGCTTAAATTAGGTCACATAAATGATCAATATATATGATAATCGTAAGTATTTATATATACTGCATAAAAATCACTACGACAATGTAAAATATAAATAAATAAATGACATTGAATGGCTCATTGACAAATTAACATCAGGAGTTTGAGTTATCTGATGAGTTAAAAAAGTGTGAAAATGTTTAAAACTGTATCTATATGGGAATATTTGTGCATTTATCTGGTATTCATATCCCCCTTTCCCCTTTCCCCTATTCCCTTAATCATTTTATATATATAGTACTGGCATAGTCGATATCTTTGCCATGATTTCTGTCACGCCCCGACTCAGGGGACGCTTATATGTTGAGTCAGGGTGTGTATATTCCTTGTTGTGCTTTTTCTATGTGGCTTGTCTAGTATGTATAGTTCTATGTTGGCCGGTGTGGTTCCCAATCAGAGGCAGCTGTCGCTCGATGTCTCTGATTGGGGACCATACTTAGGCAGCCTATTGGCACTGTCTAGTTGTGGGATCTTGTTCCTTGTAAGGTATGTTGTGTGGTCTACCTTGGACTTCACGTTTCTGTTGTTGTTTTGTCGTGTGTTTAAAGTTTAATAAACATGTACGTATATCACGCTGCGCCTTGGTCTGTCCCGTCATTCAACAAATGTGACAATTTCTCTCTTTCAAATGAGTATTTTCTGTGATTTTATTGAGCAGAGAGTATGTCAAATCAAATCAAATAGTAGAAGAGAGTATGAGTGAACCAGCAGTGTATTTTATGGGACACAGCAAATTGGCCAGTTTTACCTAGTGTTGATTTTTCAGTGTAATATTTATAATGTTGATTCAGGAGTTACATTAACTTAACACTCAGTGGTGTAAAAGAACCTCAGTAGAGTTGACTGTGATTGTGTTATTTTTACTCTGTGTAGAGTAAAACACTCAAAACCACGCCCATCATTATCATATACCCAGCATGCTCTATTGCATGTTGATTTTCAGAATTGTTTAAAGTTTCAATATGTGTTTTTGCATGTACATTGATTGGTTGCTAAATGTTATGCTACACAAAGATAAATAACATATATTTTTCAAAACTAATCCAATCTGTTAGTAGTTGGACTTATTTCACTCGTTACTGAGATGATTGTTCCCCCCCCCCCCCCCCCCCTCAGAACAGCCTCAATTTGTCAGGGCATGGACTCTACAAGGTGTCAAAAGTGTTTCACAGGGATGCTGGCCCATGTTGACTCCAGTGCTTCCCACATTTGTTTCAAGTTGGTTGGATGTCCTTTTGGTGCTGGACCATTCTTGATGCACACAGGAAACTGTTGAGCGTGAAAAACCCTGCAGCGTTGCAGTTCTTGACACACTCAAACCGATGTGCCTGGCACCTACTAACATACCCCGTTCAAAGGTACTTAAATATTCTGTCTGGCCCATTCACCCTCTGAACGGCACTAATACACAATCCATGTCTCAATTGTCTCAAGGCTTAAAAATCCTCCTCCACTTCATCAGCACTGATTGATGTGACATCACCTGGTCAATCTATGCCATGGAAAGAGCAGGTGTCCTTAATGTTTTGTACACTCAGTGTACGTAATGTATAAAGAGTTTAATTTGAAATGTTATTAAGGCTGGTGGAACCGATCATAGAGGGTTCTAGGAAGAACCTTTCAAAGTTAAAAGTGTTCTTGGTAGAGCCCTTAATAGAGGGTTTTAGGCAGACCCTTCTAGGTAAAACCATTTAGAGGGGGTTCTATGAAAAACCCTACATAGAGGGTTCTACCTAAAACAAAAAAGGGTTACCCTATGGGGACAAACTGAAGAACCCTAGATGGTTCTATTTAGCACCTTTTATTCTAAGAGTGTACCGTAGTTCAGAACAACTAGACCTTGCACAGATGACATGTTCATAAAACTAACACTTCATGCAGTCTTGCAAACAAAAACATAAATATCTTAGATTTTCTTAGGCTGGTTTGATTCCTTTGACATGTTTTCACTTTACTGTCTTAACCTGGATTAACATCGTCACCATTTTTATTCCCCAGAAGATACACAAACCCTGTTACAAGAACCAGATCCACACAGGCTGCTGGATTTTCTAACACTTTCTGTTTCTCTGTTTTCATTTGATACTCGGGATCTTTAGTCAAAGCTACAGTGTATTACTACATAATTAATGTAAACCAGTCCAGTCCAGTAGCGTCCGGGTATAGTAGGAGGAAATTGTTTTCGTACCCTGCTTCACAGTTCTTTTGTGGAAAACGATTCAATCACAGAATATGGACAGAGTATTTTGGCACATCTAAGAAAATCTGACTTTCTCATAGGCTGAGATGAATTACTAGTATAGGCTAGTACTGGGAGTGTTATTGACTGACCCTTTGGTGAGTTTAGCGGAGCAGGAGTAGGAGTATACACATCCTGGGTCTCGAAGCACCTGCTCTAACACTTTGCATGCTGGGAGCATTCCTCATCATGGGCTGTGGGAGGGGGAGGAGAGATGGGAAGGGTCACAGGACTGATGACCTCAGACTTGACCTCTGGAAACATTCATTTAGGGTATAGGCTCTTTAGCTGCTCCTCAAAGAACCTCTCCAGGTTTCTCCCTGCAGGGCAACCTCAGTGTCAGCCTGACATGGGAGAGAGGACACTTATCTCTGGATAAGAGCGTCTGCTAAAACTAAAATGTAAATGACAGAAACACTGTAAAACAGTTAGTCCACTCACAATAACAGAGCAATTTACATGTTTGTGTAACCTTAGGCAAGAGGACTCTTCTGGGGCAAGTTAGTGCTGTATTGCTAGCTGATTGAACGCTGCACAGTTCCTGAAGATTAGTCGGATGTCTGAGACAAACTCAGCGGGGCTCTTGTAGCAGGGGCTCTGCCTGGACACAAATCATAAATCATAATGGACAGATTTATTGGTGTCTTCATGGTCTCCTGAATCTCTGGCATTTTCTACAGCAAAATACAAAGGTTATCACGATATGAAAAAGGACTAAAAGTCTTTCACTCAAATGTTTCTCATCATACACTGTAAAACCAAGTGTTTAGGATCTGAACACATAACTAAACACTTTTCTGCATGTCAAGGCATTTACAATTTCAATGAAAACGCGTCACAGTCTTTAGATTGTGAACACCAGAACATGTTTCTTCACTGTAACACTTTTTAAACATTTATTAAGCACAAGGTGTTTAGGTTTTACACACTAAACACTGGGGATGTTGTTTTAACGCTGTAGGGTATACAGCTGTATTTGCATATTTCCCAGCATGCCTTTCGAGTGAACGTGAGAGATTCCCACACATGACTGTGTGTGTTAGTGACAAAGACATGGTTGTTGCATTCAATAATTTATATTCCTGAAGCCTTCACCAATTGACTGCCTAAGTGATTGTGTTTCAATTAAAAGTAAACCCTTTATGACCACATAGTCTACATTTCATAAGGCATTTAGTTATGGCCTAGTTAGTCTCAACAGTGTGGTTTGAAAATCCTGGCTCATGGGCCATATAAGATCTGCAAGTCACATTATTCTGGTTTGCTACTCAGCAGCTACTCTTCCTGGGGTCCAGCTAAATTGATTAGTAATTCCTATTGGAATCCAGCCAGAGGGAGGATATCCAAGAATTTAAATAATTTATCACCCACATCCTGAACTGCTATGGTGAAGGATTTAAGGGTCACGAACAGTCATAATCATGTTTATCATGAAATTGGATGATATTTGAAGGATACCAGATCAAAGTATGATTACCAAAGTATGAAAAATGAGTGTTGCTTCTACATACAGTGCATTTGGAAAGTATTCAGACCCCTTGACTTTTTACACATTTTGATACGTTACAACCTTATTCTAAAATTGATTAAATTGTTTTTTTTCCCCTCATCAATCTACAGACAATACCCTATAATGACAAAGCAAAAAACGTTTTTTTAGAATTTTTTGTAAATGTATTAAAAATACAAAACTGAAATATCACATTCACATAAGTATTCAGACCCTTTAATCAGTACTTTGTTGAAACACCTTTGGAAGAGATTACAGCCTCGAGTATTCTTGGGTATAATGCAACAAGCTTGGCACACCTGCATTCGGGGAGCTTCTCCCATTGCTCTCTGCAGATCCTCTCAAGATCTGTCAGGTTGGATCGGGAGCGTCGCTGCACAGCTATTTTCAGGTCTCTCCAGAGATGTTCGATCGGGTTCAAGTCCGGGCTCTGGCTGGGCCACTCAAGGACATTCAGAGACTTATCCCAAAGCCACTCCTGCATTGTCTTGGCTGTGCGCTTAGGGTCGTTGTCCTGTTAGAACATGAACATTTGTCCCAGTCTGAGGTCCTGAGTGCTTTGGAGCAGGTTTTTTTCAAGGATCTCTCTGTACTGTGCCCCATTCATCTTTGCCTCGATCCTGACTAGTCTCCCAGTCCCTGCCGCTGAAAACATCCCCACAGCATGATGCTGCCACATCATGCTTCACCGTAGGGATGGTGCCAGGTTTCCTCCAGATGTGACGCTTGGCATTCAGGCCAAAGAGTTCAATCTTGTTTTCATCTGTAGGATTATTTTATGTATCATTATGGCATGTGGGGAAATGCCAAAGGTAAAATGTAATAAACATGTTTGATATTGTATAATTAAGAAACATGTTTAAATAAGAAATGTAGACATTAAGTGTATGCTATGTTTTAAATGAATGCATGTGTTCTTTCACAGAGGCTGTCAACAGTGTGCATTGCATTAGTTCTTTTTTTAAGAAGGGGGCCTGCGCCACTCAGCCAATAGAATGATAGAATGAAAAGGCTTCATATAGAAAAAGGATTCATGACCTTTTGGAGTGGACATTATGTGACAGCTGGATGTTGAAAAAGAAGGGCGGTGCAGAACTAAAATAAGTTAGGAATGTGCGCATGTTTGTTCATTTGTGTGTATAAAAGAGATCTCTAAGCCAGAGAGAGACGGTTTATCCATGGAGAAAAAACTCAGGCTTTTTGTTATGCAATAAAGAGTCTAAATTCTTGAATTCACAGGCTTCTGTGTCTATAGAGATATTTTGTTTGAGTTGATTATCTCTTAGTCAAATGTTTCTACGACATATTTGGCACCCCAGATGGGACCTGATAGGGATCAGAGACGGTGTACATCTGCGGTTGTGAAACGGCTTGGACGGACCATACAAACAAAAGCGGCCGCTTTTAAAAGGTAAGCCAAGTTCTTACTAATATAGTATAAACGTTTGTGTGGTCCGATCCGGGGCTCGGCAACATCTAAAGAAATACCAAGTGGGTCTCTCCAAATTTAAGAACCAGAAAGTTAGACACTAGGAGCTTTTGAATTTAAGAATACATGTCGCTGTTGTTTGTCAGAACCGTCTGTTCAATTGATTTGATTCATTTGATTCAGTTGATTCAGCTGATTCATCTTGCTGATTGCTCTGTCCGGGTCATTTCGACACGGGCGGCTGTCCAGCTGGTTGAGTGATCAGGAATAACATGTTAAGTCCTTCGAATACCGCTATGAACGTGTAGCGAAAGTATATCGTTTATAGGCTGCTTAGGAAGGCATAAATCCTGCGGATAAACGCTTTGGAAAGCTAAAATTCCAGAGGTCTGAACGGGCAGGTCATCATCCTGTGTGTGGTGATGCTAATAAATCCTGCGGATAAACGCTTTGGAAAGCTAAAATTCCAGAGGTCTGAACGGGCAGGTCATCATCCTGTGTGTGGTGATGCTAATAAATCCTGTGAATAGACGCTTTGGAAAGCTAAAATTCCAGAGGATTGAACGGGCAGGTCATCATCCTGTGTGTGGTGATGCCAAACTTAGGTCTTGAGAAAGCTTAAGACCTAGGGGGCTAATAAATATAAATCCTGTGAATAGACGCTTTGGAAAGCTAAAATTCCAGAGGACTGAACGGGCAGGTCATCATCCTGTGTGTGGTGATGCCAAAATTAGGTCTTGAGAAAGCTTAAGACCTAGGCGGCTAATAAATATAAATCCTGTGGATAAACGCTTTGGAAAACTAAAATTCCAGAGGACTGAACGGGCAGGTCATCATCCTGTGTGTGGTGATGCCAAAATTAGGTAGGGTGGGACAGGTAAAAAAGTTGGGTCGTCCTGAGTAGGTGAACGGGTTAAATAATCACAGGGGCTCAAACTTTTTGATAAAGTGTAAACCAAGACTAGGTCTGCTCATCTGCTCATGAGTGGTTTACCTTGGTGGCTGTGAGTCATTCAACTGTCTGATTCATTTGGGCACAAGTGGCTACTCATCTGTGTGAGTGAGAATAATATGAAATCCTGCAAGTAAATAGCCTTTCTGTAAGGAAAGGAAATCTATTTGAGGTTGTTTGAAGCTTCTGTCTGATGGAGAAAGGGTTTGCCCAATCTCACATTAGGAAAGAGAAGAATAAATGGTGCGTGGATATTCATTGACCAACTGAGTGTAGAAAATTCACGTTACCAGGAGGGGTAGAATAAATCCTGTTGGAGGAACAGGTCACATTTATTGGTGTGGTCATACGACGTCTATGCATTGTAATTTGATAAATCTGTTAGGGTATGTGTCTGACATTATATTTAGAAACTTTAGAGGTAATGCAGTATTATGATAAATTGACTACGTAAAATAATAACTAGAATAGGGTTAACACTTCAAATTTGGGCCTTTTGATAGAATAAAATATTCCTGTAGGTTATACAAAGTAATTAAGGGCGTTTAAGAACAACATAAATATGGAATAAGAGTGGTATAATGATGTAAATTGGTCACACTCTGAAGTTTGAATGATGAGATATAGAGGTGTGTTTGATAATTATATATACATTGAAATAATAAGCTTTTCTTGTATATGATATCTTGGAGTTTCGTACAACAATGCCTGTCATAGAATTTTGTAAGATCGGGGAATAGTGACCAGCCTATATGATTCTAGGAGGATTCTATGACTAAGGGAAAGGATTTGAGTAATTTGTTGTTTGTTCTGCTGAGACTAGATGGTGATTAACAGATTGTGGCAATAAAGAATAATTAGAAACATGAAGGGTTTGGTAGATATGAATAAATTGGAGTAAAATGAATTTTATGTGGGTATGGTAAATACGAGGGATTGGATAAAATTATAGGTGTTGACTTGCTCAAACACGTAGACAGACGTGGAAAGGGGAGAGAGTACATAGGACATGTGGTAGAATTAAGCATTATAATAAACTATCTATTATTTCAGAAGCATATATATAATTCAATTGGTTAGGTTGTCAGATCTGTTTCCAAATCAATGAATGTGGGGTTTGACTTGTTGACTGCTAAGTTGAGTACGTTGAGCGTGTGAGATCTGTGTCCTTCAAAGCTATTTTCTGATAAAGTGTGGTATGTGTTAGATACTAAAATTACTGACCATTATCATTGGATTAAAAGAGGATTAACTTGTCATTTCGATAAAGCATAGATTCTGCATCGCTGAACAGAGTCTAGGGTTTCTAAGTATAGTTTAGCTATAGTTGTGGGGTGTTTAGATTGAAGGAACAGTCAGGATAAGATTGGAAGATCTAGTAGCCTGAGTCTTTTCAGACTGAAGGACTCACTTATTCAACGGGAAAGGAGGAGTGTCTATAGTCTAAATCAGAAAGGACAGTTACATTTGAATAGCGGACTGGCAATTTGGATAAGAGATTTGGCCATAATTTGAATTGTTTAGGTAGACTGGAATGAAAGTAAGGTAGTTTAATATATGAATATACATATATTATTAGTTATTGTTGGGATGTGAATAGACTTTACTAATGCCATGAATTAGTTTACGGTTAAAAGAGAGTCATACTTGTTTGACTGTATCGAGCTGAAATAGTTATTTAAAGAAAGTTTGAATAGCTGGATGGAAAACATTTATTTGACAAAATTCTAATTGTTATTACTTTATTCTATGGTTTGCGTGACATCAGTAATGTATGCGA